AAAAGGAAATTGATACATAAATACTTGTATGTGTAATTGGGACTACATAAGCAAAGTTCCAATCAAGGTATTTGTCTTTATTTATTTATTTATTTATTTAGATTTGTCAATCGCTTACAAGATAATAGGTATAAGTACATACATAGTTATGAATACATGAAATGGATACATATAAGAAAAATAAAAGAAACAATAGGACAGGGATGCACGCCCCCTACAGACCTCTTAGGAAAGGGGCAAGGTCTTCATGTTAAACCTGTAATCTTGAATTAAGTGCCTATATGTTGCAAAACGTATTGCCAACCCCCGTTAACTTTATACTCAAGAATGAGACTGGATCCCACATGGATTCTAGAATGTTGCCTCCAAAAGGTAATCAAGGATGAATAACTACAGATCAAGCTTTCTCTGGAAGAATGCTTACCTGCCTAAAGGACAAAGTCATGCAGGATTGTATGGAGCATGTAGGACTGGGTGACGGCACTAGAATAAATGTAGCTAACATTTTATGAAAGTGGTACTTTACAACTGGTTATGTTCCTAATGGCTGATTTGTGATAGCATCCATAATATATTATCAGAATCCCAAACTCAAATTTCTAACATTGAAGCTCTTCAATTAGTTATTATTCAATTAGTTATGCAATTTAAAAAAATGTGAGATACAGGTTATAATAGCAATTGCTTAGATGGGGAATATCATCACTGAAGGTTTGGAAGATCAGCTAATGAATGGAATGAAATATCAAGCAAAACTCTTTCTGGATGCAATTCAGACCAGGGCAACTAACAGACTAAAGTTAAACTGATTTGTTTAAACTATTCTTACTTCTCTTGTGGTAATATTCTACAACTTCAATCAATTATCCTTTTTATAGAAAATCTATAACAAATTTTCAGCATTTGTATTTGTCCAGTCACTTGGATATGTTGTCAATATAGCACTTCATGCTAGAATCATCTACAATTTAATTATTTCAGTCATAGGTCATGATCTTTCAACTAGAAGGTAACACCTAGTAATCTAAGCTGATCTCAGAAGCTAAAAATTCAGGCCTAGTTAACATTTGGATGAGAAACCACCAGGAAAATCCCGGGCTGTGAGCTTAAAAGCATATCCCAGAATATAAAAAGCATACTCCAAAAGAAGACTGACAATGGCAACTTATTTTCACGTATTGTTAAGAAAATTTTAAGGGTGTGTCCAATAGTCATCATTAGTTAAGGTTGATTAAGATCTTTACAAAGCTATGATCAATTATCAATTATCAAATTTTGCCCTGTCCCTAAATTTCAGTCTTTGATTCAAATACTTGAACATTAGACTTACCTGGATATTGGGGGGGAAAGGTGTTTGAGGAAGAAATCCTACCAGATTTGATTTCAGGATTTAGATGTTATTTTATTCATTTACTTATATGTATCCCACCTTTATTATTTTTATCAATATCTCAAGGTGGTGAAAATACGTATTATCCCTTCTTCCTCCTATTCCATGTCTGTTGCCAATATAATGTTTGGTTTCTGCATCACAGTGGAAGATGAATAGTCTAATGATGGAAAAGGTCCATCTTAATTCAACAATGTTAATCTTAAACTTAGAAAAGTAAGCCTTAGGGTAACATATTTTTGCTCTGTGTCTACTGTGTTCGACTTCAGAATGCAAATAAAAAAATCCAGTATGGGAACAAAAATGATATGGTTGATCAGGATGATTTAAACATCCTTGCTCCTCTTTTTCTGAACTCACATCAATTAATATCTCCCATTACAATATTCCATATCAGAGATAATTTAGAGTAGAATATTTTCATAGCAATAAATTAAACAAGGTAATGTAAGCACTATGCATTCCACTTTTATTTTTTTTTTAAATTCCTTAATTCCTAAACCAATTAAAATGTTTTTACTTATTTCAGAAAAGGTATCTCCCATAACAATATTTGATTTCAGATGGAATCTAATCAGTCCTTGCCCTTTCTGTTTTATTTATAAGTATGTGCAGAAGGACCTTTACCTGGATCATGGCTCACATTCAGAGAGGATAAAAATTTGATCTCTTCTTCATTATCTGTTATATTTCATAAGCTGTACTTGTCAGATTCAGAACATACTTTTCTCTTTCCAGGTTTTTCTTTGGAGCAGAAATTAAAACTGTAGGGATTTTTAAAAATGCAATTATTTTGATGAAATCTACCACTAGGAGAAAATTTATTAGTGACTGTATGGCTACATTTTTCTAAACCTAGATATCCTATGGTTTCAGACATTAATGCTATAGAATATTTAGAATGACTGTTAAATGGATCTTCAACAACAAAATATATGTGAATTAATGTTTGTCAACCTTAATTTGTTGTTCCATATGATGATGCTAATAAGCCTTTCATTAATACCTTATTTATATTTAGAAGTATTATGTGCATATACTTATCTTGGCTTACCTTGGATGTTAATATGGCATTTATATCTGTTTTACTGATAGATTGAATCTTGAGTGGCTCATCAGCTTCATGCATTTCTGCCACTGGACAGCTAATTTAGTATGCTTCAAATTATGGATCATAAACTATTCAATATATCCCATTAACCTTCTGTATTGAGCCTGAACACAGAAAGTCTATAGATCAGCAAAGTTTAGATTTTATCAAATTAGAGGATTTCATCACCCCAGAGGAATTTCCTTTTAAACTAATATTTATCAGTGATGCCTTATGTAATATTTTTGGACAATGATTTTAAAAAAGACAAATCATTCTTAAATAGCTGGACATTGTTGGGTCAGTATAATACATTTTTATTCATACCATTAGATAAAACAGATTAATCCAACTAGGTTTTATTTGCAAAATGACCTAGAAAGCTTCACAAATATGCTTTAAAGAATTTGTGAAACTTTCTAGGCCATTTTGCAAGTAAAACCATTCTTGAGAAAGAAACATCACTGTTCTTCAATCACATAGAGTGATTCTTTGGGGGGGGGGAGTCAGCTTTTAAAAAGGTTGCTTTTAGAAAGTTTGAATCTAAAATGTTTCCTGTGCTACCATTGACAATACTGTCTGCTGTGGCATAGCTTCTTTTCTTGTGTGTTGTCAGAACCCTGCTTTTCTAAGCACTATGAGAAAAAACGAAAGTCTAGGTAGAAGGAAATGAATGTGCAGCCTTGTTTTAGAGGGGATAGAGAATGGCATGTGTACTGTAAAATGTGTTAACTAAAAATGTTAAAGGTTTTATTAGATTTCAATTCTCATTTTCATCCTATTTTTCAAGGCAGCTTCATATAACATTTCTTTCTCCAATTTTATCCCCACTGTCTCAATCCTCTGAGACAAGTTGGGCTGAAAGAGTAAGTTATAACCCAAAAAGCATCTTGTGACTTTCTATACCTGAGTATGAACTTAAAATGGTTCTCCTCAGTCTTAGTCTAACACCTTAGCTATTACATACTGTGTGTAGTATGTACTACATCTAAATGGAGTCTGAAACAAAATACAGAATGAGTGGAGGGCTTTCATCTATTCATCCTTTTTCCAGGATTTAATATTTCATTTCCCCTCTGTGCATTTTTGTTCCCTCCCTTGTTTAGCAACCAGCCAATATTCTGTGGTCACTGAACATGGTTCTCACTATGTTCATTTGGAATCTTTTTCCATATATAAATTTGTTTTTGAAATACTGTTTTCTTAAGCTTGCTGATCCTATTTCTTGTGAGTGGATGGTACCATTTTAGAACAGGAGACTGATACTGTGTCTGTTTTAGAAATAAGACATTTTCAATAGGGTTTGTTCTCTGGAAATTAGTTTAGTTTACTTTATTGTCATTGCACCTCGTACAACGAAATCAAACACCATCTTCAGTGCACATCATGACCATGACTATGAAAATAAACACAAACACACATCCTTCACCCTTCACACATTGAACCGGAAACCCCCGACACCACACCAACACCGCACTATACAGCAGAATTCAAAAGAGCTACTGCCCTGGGATAGAAGCTGTTTTTGAGCCTATTTGTCCTTGTTTTTATTATTCTGTACCATCTGCCAGGTGGTAATAGTTCAAAAAAAGGGTTCCCAGGATGAGATGGATCTTTGAGAATGTTCTGAAGTTTCTTAAGGCAGCAGGAGTATAAAGCTCTTCCAAAGAGAGGAGAGGGCAACCAATGATCTTCTGGGTAATGACATTAACTTGTGCAATGTTTGAAGCCTAAATTATAATAAGATTGTTAAAGTCTGCTGAAGTATATCATTTCAAATCTGCACTAGCCATCTCTAGAGTTTATCATTCAGGGAGCAAGAGGAAACAAGAATCAGATTCAATCCAATTATTGAGAAGCTTTCATGACTATCTGGCACTGTGTTCACATGTAAGAAAATGGTATCAGTGGACTTGAAAATCCCAAGTTTTTAAAGATTCCAAAATCGTTTTAAGTTTGGGGAAGGAATAGAAGTCCAAGCTTCCAGTCTTAATTCAAAGTGTTAATATAGAACCTCAATAATTTGTGAGAGTTCCACTCATCCAAGTATTAAGATCAGCTAAGAGGTTTTTTTCTAAGAGGTTCTCCCATTGTTGGGAGAGGTACATTATGAAGAATTACTGATGTTTATTCCATTGATATTCTTTACCATGATATCTATGATAGAGCCTAGGTAGGAAGTATTTATCCAAACATATATGTATAAAAAGCCCAATGTTGATTGAGCATGCTAATTATTTTACAGAAGGATTATTACATTCAGGAAATCTAGGATGGAGGAAGGGGAATAGAAAGGAATGGCCAGAATCTTTTACAGTGGTACCCTAAACCAGGGGTCTCCAACCTTGGCAACCTTGGCAAAGCTGGCTGAGGAACTCTGGGAGTTGAAGTCCACAAGTCTTGAAGTTGCCAAGGTTGGAGACCCTTGCCCTAAACAATCATATTTTGTTACAGGTGTTTTCAATCGGCTCTGATGTCCCAAACATACGTTGTGTAACTATATAATTGCTATTTTTTCAGATTCAACAAAAGATTTAATTGAAACTTGCTGTGCTGCTGGGCAACAATGGGCTATTGATAACAATGAATGTATGGAAATCCCAATAAGTGGAACAAGTGGTGATATTTGCAGGTAGGTAAAATAAAAGTTTTTTTTAAACCAAGCACAAAAATTTGAATTTACAAATATCCTGCACACTATAATATAATCAACTTGATATTGTTTATGTCAGGTCGATACTAGGTGACACTACTGTCAGATATATTGCTTAGATTATTATTATGAAGCTTTTCAGACATTTTCTAATAATATTTGGATTTAATGTTGCGGACATACTTAAATGCTCCATTCTAAAAATCTCAGATTTCTCAAATCTGTTCACATCTATTATCATATCTCTGGAAGAGGATTGTGCATTGTCAGACATCCATGAATAATATTTCCCCCCAATGCAACCATCTGCATCTTATAGTTTACAAAATACCAAGCTTTCATGTCAAGGTTGTTGTGAAGGCCCAGGATTCTTTTGGACAAATTTTAAAAAGGTGTCCCTGAAATGGAGAGAGTTCCTGCTCTCTGTGCAACCCTGCTTGCAAACAGTCTTCTCAGAGACAAGCTGGGGCCCCTATTTGCTGAGTCACTCAAATGTCCTTCCTCGCACCAGAGGTGGTAGACTACTCATTTTTTTAAAAATTTTTATCCAAAACCTCTCAACTATGATGCCTTTTAATTATATTTGTTTTAATATTTTTATTTTAAGACGCCTAGAGTCACTTTATGGTGGGACAGGCTGCTATGGGAATATGATAAGTAAGGAAATAAGGAAAGTGCCCCCAGATTCTCTGTAGTTTGCTGCCACCCCCTCAATGTGGTGCCCTTATGCAAAGCTCAGTCTAAATAACTGAACATAGTGGCATCAACACTGATGGGACAAGCTGCTATATATAAATAGAGTGCAAGTCCCATTCCCTGGCACTGAAGAAGTCTGGTATCAAAATGACTGCAAGCAAACAACCAAGCTCAGAGAGTACCAAGGAGTCCCCTGTTGTATGTTGTGTCAACATTCATATGATATGACTGTTTGCAGATTAAATGCTCAATTCTTTCATATATCTCTAATAGTGAGTGCACTATTGAAGACATATGGAGAAACAGAACTCTTGATCTAAAACAGTAGAGGTAGTCCAGTAAAGAAAAAGAAATCTAATTATTCTAGCTGTGAAGAAGAAAAAACAGTCTAGCACAATGGGAAATTAAATTGTTGAAGTTCACATTTAAAATGCTCCTCTAGTAAAAAAAAAAAAAGGTGTAGTATTTTAATGGATCTTTATTTTTATTTCATATGCCAGTGTCAGGCTGGATGCCTGCTCTGAAAATTCTATTAATTTCAAAGCAACTCGCTATAACATAATTTTACAAAACATAGCTAGTCTTTATATTGTGACTTTGCAAAAAAAAATGTGTCTTGTGATAAAAACATGGCATTCGGTACAGTGACAGAATGGAGAGAATAAATACCATCTGCCATTCTGTCATGTGATCTGCCAACCATACGAACTATTTGTGATAAGGTGAGGTAGGAAAAGAGCTTGGAAAACAGTTTCAGGGGTTAAGAATCGGGCAGGGAATTAGCCGTGTTGAGCTTTGAAGGGAAGAAGAAACAAAATGACTTGTGAATAAAGATGCCATTTGGCAGTCTTGGGCTGCTGAACAAACACAGATTCCAGGATGATTTTGGCATACAAATTGCTATGCTGGGAAGATAATGACAGGATATGGGAACTATCTAGTTGGCTCAGATTTCCAGAGACAGAAAAATTCAATTCACCCTAAAGAAGATCAAGATTGTTGTGGCAATAGGAGATGGCTAGCAGTCAGGCTCTAGACATTTGCTTGTCCTAGGCAAAATCACTTTTTGGCACCCCTTATGTTTTGGTTCATCTTCCAATTTTGTTAGAAATTTCAAAAAGGCACTTCCTTATTTTCTTCGAGTTTTTGAGCTTTATATGTCTGATTTTCATCCACAGATATATATTTTTCTTGGACATTTTCACCGTCTTTACACTGCAAATAATTTGAATTACATCAGCATCAATTGTTGTCATTCCTCTGTCAAGAATCCTAAACAAGTCAGACCATGATTTTCAAACCTCACAAACATCTGCCAAGCTATCTCACTTCTTTTACATGGAGGAATTTGCAGCTGTGTGGGAAAACACCATCTAAAATGGTGTCCTTGAATGTATCATTTTTCTGCTTTTTTTTTTTTGTCATCATAAAATGTAACTGCTACATGTTTGGGTTACAGCTTAAGGAGGTATATCTTCAAAGCTCAGTTTTGTACAGGTTTGATTTCTTCTCCCTTTTTAGTGCTAACCACTGGCATTTTTATGCCTAAAGCAAGACACTACTTTGATTGTACTGACTCAGATATAACACCTTCCTGCACCATTTTGATACAAGTTTCTGTGGTTGTGCTCCATTCTATTTATTCAGAGAAGCCTAACTACTTGCCAGGTAGTTTATGTTAAGCAAAATGATATAAATAGAACCTGCCAGTTGTATGACTTGGTACAAATATTCATTTAAATTTGAGTTGACATATTTTAAACCGATACTGCTTGTATCCTATGCCTTCCATCTTCACTGTATAAGAGTATTTGCCAGTAGCAGCCTGTGTTGTGAAAGCAATATTTTTTTTTATTTGTTGCAGAATTGCTCAAAAGCAGTGCTGTGTCTCGTATTTAAAGGAGAATAGCTGCATTGCTGGCATGATTGCTGCCAGAGAAGGTGATTTATGTGGATCAGATGAAAGTGATACCTGTGGAGGATCATTTTATAAGGCAAGATATTTTGCTGAATCTTTGTGGCATCCTTGCTAATCCAAACCAGCTTACACTTGGACCATTTAAAACCTTTTTTTTAAAAAAACCAACCATGAATTTTACTCAATTGCAGAGCATCATGGGAGGAAATAATTTTTAAAAGATACTTAGCTAAGCAGTTTGGCTCTTTGCCTCTATTTCAGAGCTTAGACCAGATGTACAATTTATCTAGCTGATAAGAATTTCATTAGTGCTTTGCTTAAGTAGTCTGTCTCCACTATTATAGTGAACAGCATGCCAGGATTTTTTTTAAACGATCACATTATAGATAAATTGTTGAGTTCCACGTGTGGTTTAGACATATATATTGGCTTAAAAGTAAACTGAGGAATTAAACTGATTTAAACTTTAAAAATATTTTATCTGATGATATTCTTTGTGAAGGTGGTGTCGGGCAAAACCTTCAATACAGCTTAATTTCTGCAACTCAAGGTGTGACTCCTTATGTGTGAAACCTTTTCTTCCAGATCTTAACCATATTTAAAAGATTGCAAAATTAATACTGAGCACAGAATAATTTTGAATGATTACAGTTGGCGTTGACTCTTAGTGACCGTATAGATTCTCCCCACCCCATCAAAACCTGTCCCTGGTCCTTAATACCGTGGAATGGTATACTCATTGTCACTTTTATTGAGTCCATCCACCTGGTTGCTGGTCATCCTCTTTTCTCCTTCCTTTCACCTTTCTCAATGTTAGAACCTTTTTGGGAGAGCTACAGCTTTTTGCATAATGTGTCCAGAGTAGGATATTTTAAGTATCTATCCTCAGTATCCTGATATTTAGTAATTTCATTCTCACAAGTATATTTTGCATAGCGTTGTCAAGGTATGCATTAACCCTGCCTCATTAGGTAATATCCAAATATCTTGCAACTACATTTATCAGAATGAAAAAAAATACAAATCGGTTCATGGGACAATTCAAGATGTAATTACTGAATGATTTGTTGAAAATATTATTTAATGTTTTCTGAAACATGAACAAATAATAAAGCTAAGATATCCATATGGGGGCCAAGGATGAAATGTGCTTTGCTGGCTTTAGAATGGAAGTTTCATCTTTGACACATGTGGGTGTGATGTCCTGATGCAAGGCTGAAAGAGCAGCGCTGTGTTGTGATCACAGTGCATGTTTTGCCTGTTTGAGATTATTGTGGTTATGGGTAGATGCCTTTGATGATAAAGTGATGATAGAGTAGAAGTCATTGTGATACAGATACCGTATTTGCCGGCGTATAAGACGACTTTTTTGCCCTGAAAAAGATGCCTCCAATTGGGGGGGTCGTCTTATATGCCGGGTCGTCTTATACGCCGGCAAATAGTAATTGGGAAGCACTGCGGCTGCCCGCGGCTGAGGCACTTTTGCGCACCGTGGAAACGAATCCCGTGAAGCCGAAAGGAGCAGCCAGCCTTCTCCCAGCTCCCAAGGAAATGAGGCTCGCACCGCCCGAGCTCCGCTGAGGTATCCGGCTGGGGCTGTCAGGAGTTGTTACCGCTGGCGCGGCTCCGCGCGGCTCCAGTCCCGCGTTGCCTCGGGAAGGGAAAGGCAAAACCAGGAGCCGCTGCTGCCATTGCAAAGCGCCGCCGCGGCTCTTCCCTTTTGCCTTTCCCTTCCCGAGGCAACGCGGGACTGGAGCCGCGCGGA